AGGGGTTTGGGGGTGGGGGGAGGGGTTTTGGGTTTTGGGGTTGGGGTTTAGGGTTTAGGGTTTGGCAGCTGGGGTTTAGGAGTTGGGGGCTAGGCGTTCGAATTTAGGGTTTAGGGGTTCGGGTTTGGTGTTTAGGAGTTAGGGTTTAGGGTTTAGGGGTTCGGGTTTAGGGTTTAGGGTTTAGGGGTTCGGATTTAGGGTTTAGGGTTTACTGGTTAGGGTCTAGGCTCTTTAGTCTAGAGCTTTCGAAGTTTAGAATCTGCAAGATTTAGGGTTTGCAGGGTTTGGGGTTTGGAGGGTTTAGGGTTTCGAGGGTTTAGGGTTTAGAGGGTTTAAAGTTCAAAGCATCAGCTTCAAGACTCAATTATGCTGAGTGTCCAAACCCTAGACCTTCACAACTCCCCCAAACCCCAAACCCTAAACCCTAAACCCTCAACCCCGTCGTTCTGAATGTTCAAACCCTAGAACCTTGGCAACTCCCCCAAACCCCAAACCCCAAACCCTAAACCCTAAACCCCGTCGTTCCGAATGTTCAAACCCTAGAACCTTGACAACTCCCCCAAACCGCGCACCCCAAACCCCAAACCCTAAACCCTAAACCCTAAACCCTAAACCCCGTCGTTTTGAATGTTGAAGCCCTAGAACCTTGACAACTCCCCCAAACCCCAAACCCTAAACCCTAAACCCTAAACCCTAATTGGTGTGTTCAGCGAGTTCCGCGTTGGCGAAGCTGGCGAACTTGGCGGCCCCCAGCTGCTGCGTGCTGCGGGACGGCCAGGAGCAGCAAATAGCAGCAGCAGAAGTTGTTCCTGGAGATGTAGTTTTTTTGCAAACTGGCAACAGTGTTTGCGCAGACATGCGCTGCTTGGAGCTCACGGAACTCAAGACCAACGAGGCCATTCTCACCGGTTCGCGCTGCTGCTGCTGCTGCTGCTGCTGCTGCTGCTGCTGCTGCTGTTGCTGCTGCTGCTGCTGCGCTGCTGCTGCTGCTGCTGCAGCAGCAGGGGCGTTTTGGGGCCGTTTTTCGCGAATTTCGCGTCTTTTTGGCTCGTTTTTCTCGGGGTCAATTCTGCTGCTCATCAGCAGCATGCTGCTGCTGCTGCTGCTGCTGCTGCTGCTGCTGCTGCTGCTGCTGCTGCTGGCCCGCAGGAGAGTCCGAAGACGTCACCAAAACGGTCTCCGCAGTTGACCCCGATAGCCCCTTCGCCTCCAACTTGTGCTTCGCCAGCACCATCGTCACCAACGGCAGCGGCCGGTGTCTCGTTTACGCCACGGGGATGGAAACTCAAGTCCGCGAAACCCCAATTTAGGGTTTTTGAAAGGGTTTTCGCGCCTTTTTCTAAGGGTTTTCTCCCCGCTTAAGAGGGTTTTCTTTGCAGTTTGAACGAGGGTTTTGGTTGGGGTTTAGAGGGACTTTTCCCGGCGTTTTGAGGGCTTTTTCCGCCATTTTAGGGTTTTAGCCACTCACGAGGGTTTTCTTTGGGGTTTAAAGAGGGTTTTGCTTGCCATTTAAAAAGGGTTTTGTCTTTTATTTAAAAAGGGTTTATTTGCCATTTAAAAGGGTTTTATTTCCCATTTAAAAGAAGCTTTACTTGCCATTTAAAAGGGTTTTATTTGCCATTTAAAGTGGTGTTTTTGGAATTTAAAAAAGGGTTTTGTTTGGGACTAGATGTGCTGCACCATAGGATCCGCTGCTGCTGCTGCTGCTGCTGCTGCTGCTGCAGCTCCCCGCTCCCCTGCTGCCTCCGGGCTGCGCGCGCTGCTGCTGCTGCTGCTAGTGCTGCTGCTGCTGCTAGTGCTGCTGCTGTTGCTAGTGCTGCTGCTGCTGCTGCTAGTGCTGCTGCTGCTGCTACTGTATGTATACTCTTGCTGCTTCTAGCGCTGCTGCTCTTGCTGCTTCTTACTGCTTCTGCTGCTGCTGCTTCTGTTGCTGCTGCTGGCGTTGCTTCCACTGTTGCTGTTGCTGCTGCTGCTGCTATTTGCGCTGCTGCTGCTGTCAGAATTACTGCTACTGGCGCTACTACACTATACTTGCTGCTGCTGCTGCTATTATCTTACTGCTGCTGCTGCTGCTATTATCTTACTGCTGCTGCTGCTGCTGCTGCTATTATCTTACTGCTGCTGCTGCTGCTATTATCTTACTGCTGCTGCTGCTATTATCTTACTGCTGCTGCTGCTGCTGCTATTATCTTACTGCTGCTGCTGCTGCTGCTATTATCTTACTGCTGCTGCTGCTATTATCTTACTGCTGCTGCTGCTATTATCTTACTGCTGCTGCTGCTGCTGCTGTTATTATCTTACTGCTGCTGCTGCTGCTGCTGCAGGTGAAGCGAAAGGCGAACGTGCGGAAGCTGCCAGCTGTCGAGACACTCGGCTGCTGCTCCGTCATTTGTTCCGACAAAACAGGTTGGCTTTTTATTATTTATTTTTATTTATTTATTTATTTATATTTATTTTTATTTTATTTTATTATTTATTTATTTATTTATTTATTTATTTATTTATTTATTTATTTATTTATTTATTTATTTATTTGGCTTCACGAAGAGTGCCGAAGTAAATAATGAAAAGACAAACATCGCAATAAATTGAAAATTGAAAAAAGATTTATTTTAATTTTAAAAAAGAAAAAGTAAAAATAAAAATAAAACAAATAAAACAAACAAATAAAAATAAAATTAAAATAAATTAAAATAAAAATAAAAGTGTTTTTGTTTTGCTGCTAAGGGACTTTGACGGAGGGCAAAATGACAGCAACAAGACTAGTTGTCTTTTCGCGAAAGGAGTCTGCAGCAGCAGCAGCAGCAGCAGCAGCAGCAGCAGCAGCAGCAGCAGCAGCAGCAGGAAGCAAAGAGGAGCTTGAAAAGGAGACAAAGGAAGCAGCACAAGACTCAAATGAAATTAAAAAAGAAAACAAAAATGAAAATAAAAATGAAAATAAAAAAGAAAATAAAAACTCTTTTGTTTTTGCTGTTTACCCCACAAAAGGCTTCGACCCCCACGGCGGCTTTTTCGAACTGCAAAAACTTTCCGAAGAAAAAAAGGTGCACCTTTTGCTGCTGCTGCTGCTGCTGCTGCTGCTGTTGCTGCTTTCACTTTGCTGCTCTTCTTTTATTTGCTGCTGCACTTCACGGCTCTCCGTTTTTCTCTTTTGCTGCTTTTTTGCTTCTCCTTTTGCTGCTGCTGCTGCTGCTCCGCAGCAGCGCAGTTGAGCAGCAGTTCCCTCCCTAAAAATCTAGCAGCAGCAACAGCAGCAGCAGCAGCAGGGAAAGTGTGTTGCTGCTGCTGCTGCTGCTGCTGCTGCGCAGGCAACTATTGCGGCGCTGCATGCACAAGGGGCCTACAGCTCATTTGGGCGAGTGTTAATGGACTACGGTGCTGCTGACGCTGCTGCTGCTGCTGCTGCAGCAGCAGCAGCAGCAGCAGCAGCGGGGGACGCTGCTGCTGCTGCTGCTGCGCAGGCAGACGCAGCTGCTGCAGCACAACTTCGAGGACTTCTTGCTGCTGCTTTTCTAAATTCGCATTCCACCAAATTGACAAGAGATCCAAAAACAAAACAATGGACCACTTCGGGCAACATGAGCGAAGGTAGAAAGCAATTGCTGCTGCTGCTGCTGCTGCTGCTGCTGCTGCTGCTGCTGCTGCTGCTGCTGCTGCTGCTGCTGCTGCTGCTTGGTGACTATTCGTTTTTAGGTGGAATTGAACTGCATTTGTGCTGCTGCTGCATTTGCTTATCCCTTCCTGTCTTCGTTTATCTCCTTTTGTTATTTTGTTTTAAAATTGCTGCTGCTGCTGCCCCTCCTTTGCTGCTGCTGCTGCTGCTGCTGCTGCTGTTATTGGCTTACTTTTGACCCGTGCTGCTGCTGCTGCTGCTGCTGCTGCTGTTCCCCTGCCATCATTTCGCCTCCCTTCGCTGCTGCGCTTTCCCCTGCTGCCGCCGCCGCCGCCGCTGCTGCTGCTGCTGCTGCTGCTGCTGCTGCTGCTGCTGCTGCTTAGGGGCGCTGGTGGTTGCTGCTGCGAAGGCGGGTTTTGACGGGAGTTTGTTGGAAATGTACCCGCGAGAAGCAGCACTTGAAGTTCCATTTAATTCAAGTCGAAAACTTTCTGCTTCTGTGCACAAGTTGCAAACCCCCAACAGCTTCTGCAGCCTCAGCTTCGCCCGCAGCAGCAGCAGCAGCAGCAGCAGCAGCAGCAGCAGCAGCAAGTTCACCCACGTCGCCATCGTCAAGGGCGCCCCCGACAAGGCAAGCCCGGCCCACGCTGGACAAGGGCTTAGGGTTTAGGGTTTAGGGTCTAAGGGCTAGGGTTTACGGCTTACCGTCTAGGGTTTAGGGTTTAGGGTTTAGGGTTTAGGGTTTGCGGCTCAGGGTTCAGGGTTTAGGGTTTGCACGGTTGGGGTTTCCAGGGCTTAGGGTTTACAGGGTTTCGGATACACAGGGTTTAGGGTATACAGAGCTAAGGGTATGCAGGGTTCAGGGCTTAGGGTTTAGGGTTTAGGGTTTAGGGTTTAGGGTTTAGGGTTTAGGGTTTAGGGTTTGTCGGTGCAGCTGTACCGGCACTTGGGCTACATGTTGCGGAGCGGCGAGGGCTGCTGCAGCATGGACTGGAGCAGCAAAATGAGTCAAGACGAGGGTTTAGAGATTAAGCAGCAAAATGATGAACTTTCTGCTGCTGCTCTGAGGGTTTTGGCTGTTGCTGCTAAACCCTTAACCCCCGCGCAGCTCCAAACCCTCAAGGAAGCGGAAGGCGCTGACGAGCGCCTTCAGCAGATCCTCGAGGAGCCCCAACGCGTAAAACCCTAAACCCTAAACCCTAAACCCTAAACCCTAAACCCTCGCGGAGGGGGGGGGCCGCTCAAAGCCCGCTCGAATGGCTCCTCCCAGTGCCCCAGCAGCCCCAAACCCTAAACCCTAAACCCTAAACCCTAGGCCTGGGCGGTCTGCAGCAGCCTGCCTCCGTAGCTCTAAACGCGTCGCCTATAAACACTGCTGCTGCTCTGCTGCTGCTGCTGCTGCTGCTGCTGCAGTAGCTGCTGCACCTGTCTTCTGCTCTCCCGTTTGGCTGCTGCTGCGTGTGGAGCCGCCGCCGGCTCCGCTGCTGCTGCTGCTGGACGCCGGCACCACCCGCTGCTGCTGCTGCTGCTGCTGCTGCTGCTGCTGCTGCAGGGTTTGCTGCTGCTGGGGCTTGTGGGGTCTTTGGACCCCCCAAGAGCTGGAGTGCAGCAAGCTGTGCTGCAGTGCGGAGCAGCAGGAATAGAAGTGAAGATGATAACGGGAGATCAGCTGAAGACTGCATGCGCAGTTGCTGCAGAGCTGGGCATACTGCAGCAGCACCAGCAGCAGCAGCAGCAGCAGCAGCAGCAGCAGCAGCAGCAGCAGCAGCAGGGGGAGCAGCAGCAGCAGCAGCAGGATGATGCTGCCATTTTGTGTGCAAGGCTGCACCAAGATGATGACCCTTCACTCCCCTTCAAGCCCAATGAAGAACTCGACCCTCTCGTCGCCAAGTCAGCCTCTAGGGTTTAGGGTTTAGGGTTTAGGGTTTAGGGTTTAGGGTTTAGGATTTAGGGTTTAGGATTTCTTGGAATTTTTTGGCTCTCCAATGTTCTGAAATTCTGCATCGTGGCAGTTCTTTCTTCTTTTGCTGCTGCTGCTTCTGCTGCTGCTGCTGCTGCTGCTGCTGCTGCATGCCCATCCCCAGCCCACCCTCCGCCGTTCCTTTCCCCGTAGCTGCTGCTGCTGCGTTGCTGCTGCTGTTTTCTCTCCTCCTGCTGCTTCCTCTCCTACTGCTGCTTCCTCTCCTGCTGCTGCTGCTGCGTTGCTGCTGCTGCATTTCTGCCGCGTTCATTGTCACTGTTGCTGCTTCTCCCTCTGCTGCTGCTGCCTCGCTGCTGCTGCTGCTGCCTCGCTGCTGCTGCTGCTGCCTGTGCTGCACGGTTCCCTCTGCCGCTCTGTCCCGCCCCCCTGCTGCTGCTGCTGCTGCGTGTACCCTGCACTCCCTTGCTGCTGCTGCTGCTGCTGCTGCTGCAGCTGCGTGGTGTTTGCGCGCGCGCAGCCCGAAGACAAGCTGCACCTGGTGGCTGCGCTGCAGCGGCTGGGCGGCGCGACGGTGGCGATGACTGGGGACGGCGTGAACGACGCGCCTGCGCTGAAGGCCGCAGACATCGGCGTGGCGATGGGACTGGCGGGCACTGACGTGGCGAAAGGAGCAGCAGAAATGATTCTTTTGGACGACAACTTCTGCACCATCGTCGCCGGCAAGTGCTGCTGCCAATTCCCCGAAAAACCCGCCAAAAACCACGCAAAAAGACGCCAAACTCGCCGAGATAACGCTCCTGCTGCTCCTGCTGCTGCTGCTGCTGCTGCTGCTGCTGCTGCGGGGGTAGCGGCGGTGGCGGGGGGAAGGGGGCTGCCGCTGAGCTGCTGCTGCTGCTGCTGCTGCTGCTGCTGCTGCTGCTGCTGTTGCTGCTGCTGCTGCGGTAGGCGGGTTGGCGCTGAACTGCTGCTGCTGCTGCTGCTGCTGCTGCTGCTGCTGCTGCTGCTGCAGCTGTTGAGGAGGGCCGGAAGATTTACGGAAACATTCAAAAGTTTGTTTGTTTTCTTTTGGGAACAAACATCGGAGAAATTATTTATTTGACCATTTCCATTGCGGCTTCCATGCCACTCCCCCTCGAGGCCCTCCAGGTACTCACCAGCAGCAGCAGCAGCAGCAGCAGCAGCAGCAGCAGCAGCAGCAGCAGCAGCAGCAACAGAAGAGGCAGCAGCAGCAGCAGCAGCAGCGGCAGCAGGTGCTGCTGCTGCTGCTGCATTGATAAAATTAGACTTCATATTTTTGTTTTTTCTGCTTTTTCGCCCCACCCAATTATTCATTTGTTTATTTATTTATTTATTTATTTATTTATTTATTTATTTATTTATTTATTTATTTATTTATTTATTTATTATTTATTATTTATTTATTTATTTATTTATTTATTTATTTATTTTTGTTTTCAGGTTTTGTTTTTGAATTTGATGAGTGACGGATGCCCCGCTGTGGCCCTCGCGAAGGAGCCGCCCGACAGCGACAACATGAACGTAAACCCTAAACCCTAAACC